CTATGTTCAGTATTGTCTCGCACCTGCTGCACCGCTGTCGGTTCTAGCTAGGTTAGAACGGGTTAGGTGCCTCCACCGTGCGACCCTGACGCGTGTGCCAAAATTGTAACGTTGGCCGTCGAGCACTTGCTGTGGAGTCGCGTCGACGATGTTAAGTCCTCGCCCTCCAGACGTGGACTTGGAGGATCACCCTGTATCAGAATCACTTGGCAACACCTAGTCGTGATGGATTGTCGGCGTCATTGCATTTTGAATACTATTTGCACTTAGTTGAGTTCGACACTAATCATCTAGAGTCCCTGGTTAGCATTACTCATGGCATATAGGGTTCCCTTCCCTTGTTACCTCACCCATATTTAGTTGTCAGGGCGGGTTTACAAGCCCGTCCTACATCAGTTGACCTCTTCATTTGTTACTTATTTTGGCATGACTCCTAAATCCCTTGACATGTCCTTCTACTAATGTGGTCATGAATCTCTATATGTTCTGCCAATTATTTTGATGATTTCGAAATTAATGGAAAATCACTTCATAAATTTCTTAAAAATAAACAAAAAAATATTTTCTATATTTTAGGTTCACGATTAATTTCCTATCAATTTCAAATTATTTATCCAGACTATAAAACTTAAAGAATAATTCTACAACATTGATTGAAAATTAGAAATTTATTCATATCACATAAACTATAAAAAACAATCAAATAAAATATGAATTCATCACATAATTCTTAAATAGTACAAACACTTTTTAAGCTTATTAACATATATTTTATGTTGATTCGTGACTTTTAGTTCAATTTTTCCTTACTATATAAAAATACATCATTATGAGACACCAACCAATTGGTTGAAGAATTATGGTGTGTAGCAGCTATTTATTTTCACTATGACATTGTTCAAGACTTGGTACTCTATGCACAGCCAAAGTGATTTATCCTTCTAGTTTTAGAAAAGGATATTGGCCCAATAGGGTGTCTTTGAAGGGCAATTATGGCCATCCTCCAAGAGCTTCTCTAATTGTCAACATAGCTCCTTTGGATACACTAATGACATCTTATTTCGTGCAGAAGTTTCCAGGTGTACATTGGGTATGGCCTCAATCTTAAAGCGTACCTGGGACAATGGTCGGAATCACATCAAAAGTGTTTATTGACATCATGTTCAAGAACCTTCTACAAGATTGAGAAACTTTTGGCCAGAGCTAACTCGGCATGCTGATCTCCATTACCATGCACACTAATACCATGCTGACCAAGTGGTGTATGCGTCCATGTGCTCACTCCTGACTTGTCCTCGATTTGCATACTTTAGAGCACTTGCTGTGGTGCTGGAATGATCTGCACACAGAACATTTCTCAGAGTATTGGACCTTGACATTGTGTACCTCCATATGTGCGGCACACCTCATGCACACCACACCTCTGAGGTTCATAGATGCCTTCTATGAACCTCAATTTGACTCAGCAGTCTCATCTACTTGAATTGCTTCACGGCATTTCATATTGTGCCAACATGAGGTTCTGTGTACTTGATGCACCTTTGTGCATCCTACATCATCTTGTCATGCACTGCCATGAGTGACTACACAAACCACCATGCAGCTTCGTGTTGACAGTGAGGTCCTACTCCCAAAACTTCATTCCTCCAAGGGAGGGGTTCCACATCCTCTGCCACACATCAAATTTAGCATCCTTTGGGAGGATCTTCACTGATGCACCTGCAGAAGAGGTCTTGAAGCCTTGATAGATGTTGTGCTTAATGCTGCACCATTACCATGTAACCTCATGCAGCCCTTTGATGTCCACATCTTCTGCCGATGAATAGTTAGTGTGGGCAGATGCAAGTGAAAACAATGCTTGCAAAGCTTTCGACCACTTGACCATTGTCAGAAAATGGATCCCTCCAGCCTTCTGGTGTTATGTGCCACTATTTCCTTTAATCATTAACTTATTTTGATACTAAATTTTCAAGGAGATCTGACCAAGTCTTCTCCCTTTTGTTCAACTAACGTCAAATGTCTTACCACTATGCATAAATACACCAAGACTCGAGGAATGTGTTATGATGTGCACTTGTCGTTGTGTTTAAATGTTCATTTTCTAATAAGATTTATAATTAAGACTTAATAAAATATTAGTATATAAGTACGTCTCAAGTTGAATCTAGAGAGATTGATTGATCCATCATGAAAGCTAGTTTAGTTTATGTATAAAGTGATTTTTATATTTTATCAATATTTAATAGAAATAATAAAATAGAAGGACGAGGTGAGATTAATAAAGAAAGGGAAGTAGAGAAAGGGAGGAAAAGAGAAGAGAGAGAAAAGTTCTCACAAAGAAAGAAAAGAGAAGAGAGAGCTCTCACAAAGGATAAGAGAAGAGATCTCTTGTGAAAGAGAAAGAAAGAGAGAGGAGAAAATCTCATGTGAGATAGAAAGAGAGAAAAGTCTCACGAGAGAGAGAGAAGGAGAGAGAGGGAGATTGATCGAGAGAGAGAAAGAGAAGGAAATTGATCAAGAGAAAGAGATAAAAAGGAGAGATCTCAAGAGAGACAAAGAGAGAAGAAAAGGTCCCATGAGAGAGAGAGAAAAATAAGATGATAATAAAGAAAGAAAGAAATACGATCAACCCATTTTCACAGTGATCATTATTTTCATATGAATGTGTGCTTGAGAATTCACACATATGACATGAGGTCAGCTGTGAATGTTTTCAATTTATTTTAATCATCAACTGCTCATTAATCAACCTCTAACCTCAGCAATTTTATGTTCAAAAATAGAAAAATACTCGTTATTTGTAGAACGTTGGGAACATGAATACATCCACAATCAATTGTAAAAATTAATAAGAAAATAAGTTAGAAATGATCTTAGCTTGATCTCAGACGAGTTTTGGAGTATTCAATAAAGATCATTCATCAAGTTGTAAATTAGTTCTACTCATTTTAATTGAAACATACATAAAATGAAAATAACTTGCCATAAAATATAAATAAATGACAAAAATAGGTAAGTAAATACTAAAAGCAGAAAATAAATCATTGCCCAAATTTAGTTTGCATCTTAGGCAACTAGAGACACCAGTGTGAAAACTTGGTTTTGTTTGGACATATCGCACCATGCTAGAAGTCATGGAAGTATTGTTTGAAAGTGCTGCACTATTTGTCGGATAGATCTGTCAAAATGAGGGGTCGACCATGTTGTCAATGTTGTCTAGGGGGAGAAGGAAAGAGCTGACCAATCACCGGAGGTATTGAGTGCAGTTAGAGGAGGAAGGAACGAGCTCATCAATCATCGAAAGCATTGATTGCGCAAAAAGAGAGAAGAATAAATTGTCATATCTACAACTATTGTCGGGATTTTAAAGATAATCGATAATATCTATTTTACTAGAAAGTAATTGATTATTATCTTTATATCTCTAATGGTGACGCATGTGAGAACTTAAGTTCTTGGTATCGTGGTGCTCTTGAGCCACTAGATCAGATGTGCTTAGTCATGTGGCGCATTGAGTGGTGTAAAATTAACCTACCATGAACTGCTACCAACTGAAAACTTAAGTCTCTAGTACTATGGCATCTTCTTAGTTGTTGGATCATCATTTATGGTCACATATGTGTTGAGTGGCCTTATATTTGCAAACCGTCGATGGATTGTTTTACACATCTGGTATCGTGGTAGTTCTTTCACTATAGGATATGACTTATTTGATGATGTGGCTCACTGAACACCAATAGATGACATCACACTCCACACGACTATCATGAAACACACGAGAAATTTTAGTCACACATCAGAAATATTTCAGTGAATGAGCTGAATATAAATCAAAGCTACAATCTATCGGCAGAGATCTATTATCCCAAAATAAAATAATTCCTAGGACCATCTTGAGAGAAGGTAAAAAGGTGATCCACCCTTACGTGCACACGTGTGTACAATGCTCCTTGCTCCAAAACCAGTTGGCCACCGAGACATGATAGGGGAGTGATGCATGCATGTGCAAAGCAAGTCCTTCGCCATTCGAGCCTTGCTCGTGGCTCCTCTAGTTTGGGTCTACTCACTCGACCGTAGTGCCTCTTTGAGTTAGCTGCCCAAGTGTCAACTTAACAGCGGGCGATGATATTTTTATATGTTAATATTTTATTTTTCTAAATAATAAAAAATTATGCTAAATATTTAACTTAAGACTTTTTAAAATTAAAAATATATTTCTAGATTTATTCTGAAAGTTAAAAAAATAATAAAGTAATAAGACTAATTAAAACACAAAAATCTAGCTGTAACATGGTATTACTCACTTTATGAGGATAATCTCTCAAAATTTAGAACCTCTCCCTAGCTATCATCATACTTGAGTTTTCATTTATCTATTGGCTATTCACTAGTCTCCATTTATAAGATAATGCCCTTACATCGTAGAGCTATCAAACAACTTTGGTTAATTATGTGTTATTACTTATTAGTTAACAAACCAATGATTCAGTGTACCCGGTCGTAATAACTCAAGGTTGTTACGTGAGGTATCGGTTGGTTAGTGTACCCGATCAATCACCTAAATACGCGAGCTTCGTGCGCTTTCTGGGTGTCGTGATGTATTGACGCTTTGCCAAGGCGATAGTACGACGTGGAACGTCGTGTCACACCAGAGACCTCTCAGGTTCATGAGACACTCTAATGAACCACTTTTTATGCTGACGGAGTCGATAGAGACTGTGCGCTCCATGTGTGCCATGGTCTGCCAGCGTCAGGCCACACCATGCCGGTTTTGAACCTCACTTCTCGGAGGGGTATCATAACTGGCCTGGAGAAAATCTGGAAAGATGAGTTTCATGAAATCTAGGCACTGACGTCTAGATTCAGGAGAAAAGATAGATGTACTATTACCTAAAAGAGAGAAGAGGCGAGAGAGAAGAGGATTGGACAATAGCCAGTCGATTCTGACGTTTCAGGCTTGAGTCTGGTCTCGATCTATTGGGTCCCAACGCTGGTGAAAAAGCCCTTTATCGGATTTGAACCGATGACTTACGCCTTACCATGGCGTTACTCTACCACTGAGATGGAAAACGACAGTACTAGTCAAACCCGCGTTTTTCACAACTTGGAATGCCGTGAAGGGCCCCACGAAGTGAAGAGAAAGTCAAGCTGCCACGGCGGCAATTACCTACCATATGGGACCAGCGCCGGATGCGATTGATCCATCTCAGAGAAGGTTTTTCTCTTCTTATCCTCCAAGCGGATGGGGAAGGGGAACATTGACTGCCGTCATTCGTAACGAGGAGCAACATGGTGGGTAGGCAAGCTAGACGGGAGGCGTTGTTCTTCGCCGCCCTCTTCCCCACCCTCATCACCCTCTCCGCCGCCCGAGATACCCTCGTTCCGGGCGATCGCTTGGAAGACGGCAGTTCCCTTGTCTGCTCCGATGGCAGCTTCAAGCTGGGATTCTTCACGCCGGGGAAGTCGAAGTTCAGGTTCCTGGGTATCTGGTACAACCAGATCCCCGTCCAGACGGTGGTCTGGGTGGCTAACCGTGATAACCCCCTGCCGGACAAAACCGGCGTCCTATCCATCTCCATCAATGGCAGCCTCTCCCTCTCCGACTCAAAGGGGGTGGTCTACTGGTCGACGTCGCCGACGAGACTTGCCGGGCCAGTAGCCAAGCTTCTGGATGACGCCAACTTTGCCGTGGGCGGCGCTGGCGAAGCCGGATACGTCTGGCAGAGCTTCGACCATCCCACTGACGCCTTCCTCCCTGGGATGAAGTTGTGGGTCGACCGCCGGACCGGGTTGACAAGAAACTTCACTTCATGGAAGTCCGACGAAGACCCTGGCACGGGGAACTGCACCTTCTTCTTGGACTCTAATGGGATTCCGCAGATATTCTTAGTCCAGGGCACCAAGCGGCTGTGGAGCTCTGGGCCATGGGTAGGAGGAAAATTCAGCGGCGTCCCGGGGATGAGGAGCTACGGCGTGTACAACTTCTCCTTCGTCTCAAACGCCGACGAAGCCTACTACCTGTTCAGCAGCCGGATTAAGTCCATGCTGACAAGGCTGGTGGCGCAGCCGAATGGTCGGATAGAACGGCTGGTGTGGATGGAGGGCGAAGGGAAGTGGAACGCCTTCTATTCTGGGCCCAAGGACCGCTGCGACGCCTTTGGTTACTGCGGCACCTTCGGCGTCTGCGACGCCAAAGAGTTTCCGATGTGCAGATGCCTCCAAGGTTTCGAACCCAAGTCGCCGGAGAACGGGAATCTCAGGGACGGGAAGGACGGTTGCAGAAGGAGGACGGAGGTGGACTGCCTAAATGGCACCGACGGGTTCGTCTTGGTGGCTAACGTGAAGCTTCCCGACACCTCGGTTGCGGTGGTGAACGAGAAGATGGAGGCGGAGGAGTGCAGGGAGGCGTGTCTGAGGATTTGCTCCTGCACGGCCTACGCCACTGGTGAGATGATCGACGGCAGCAGGAGCGGCTGCATAATTTGGAGTGGCGTGTTGACGGACCTCCGGGTCCACGACAATGGCGGGCAGGACCTATTTGTCCGCCTCGCACTTGCCGATCTAGGTACGGTAGGTGAAACCACCACGTCCTTCAGCTTGGGTGGAACTCGTCTTCTAGGTATTCAAAGTTGTCTAGAGTCTGAAGGGAACGGGGACTCACCAACAATCTCGAGCCATTATTTTGGCAAGCTTCCTACCATCATCAACGGGGGGGACTGAGGTCACGCGCGCTGTTTATTTAATTAATTCGTACAGAAATTTGACTCACTCTGCAGCTTTGTCGCCGAGTAAGGCAAAGAGAAGACGGGTAGCGGCAGCGGTGTCGGCTGCGGTGGCGGTGGCGGTGGCGGTGCTGGTGGGGTTGCTTCTCCTTGGGTTGCTCCGCGGCTTTGTCTGGCGGCGGAGGAAGGGTAGTTATACAGGGCCAGAGAACCCTTTTCTCAGCTCCTTGGCTCTCTCCCTCTCTATCTTTGCGCCTTTCGTTCTATGTCCTGCGTGCATCTCTCTCTGTCTATCTGTTTCCTTCCCCCTCTCTCCCGAAATGGATGGATAATCTATCCCGTACCATCATTATACAGTGATCCTCGGAAACTACCCCAACGTGAAGAGTCAAATCTGGAACCAGGAGATTACCAGATCAGGGGAGCTGGATCTCCCCTTCTTCGACCTTGCCGCCATCGCCGCCGCAACCGACCATTTCTCCATCGACAGTCTGCTCGGCGAGGGCGGCTTCGGGCCCGTTTACAAGGTCAACTAACTCGCCTATTCGACTGATTAATCTCTCGTTAAACTTGAAGACTCGATCATCTAATTTTTGAATTCTGGGGCGATAGGGGCGATTAGAAGGGAAACAGGTGGCAGTGAAGAGGCTGGCGAAGAGCTCGTCGCAGGGCGTGGAACAATTCATGAACGAGGTGAGGCTGATAGCGAAGCTCCAGCACCGGAACCTTGTTCGGCTCCTCGGCTGCTGCATCGACGGTGAGGAGAGAATGCTCGTCTACGAGTACATGCCCAACGGAAGCCTAGACTCCTTAGTTTTTGGTCAGTCTCTCTCCGTCTACTTCCTTCTCCCTTTCTTTCTTTCTCCCTCTCTCCCTCTCCCCCCCCTCTCTCCTTCTATTGCCTCCTCTCCTCCCTTCTCTGTATATCTTGGTCTCTTCCTTTGTTATCTATCTATTTGCCTCCGGGTCCTTCTCCCTCTGGCCCTTCTTCTCTGTATATCTTTACCTCTTTCTTGCCATCTATACATGTCCATATCTCTCTACAGCCTTGTTCCTCTCTCTCTTTCCTCTGGATCAACATCTCTTTCCATTTCTCACTGTCAAGCTATCTGCTACCCACTCTCTCTCTCTCTCTCTCTTCCCCCCCCCGTGTGTATCTCTTCCTCTCTTTCTACAAGGGTGTCTTATATCGTGGCAGACAAAACCAAGGCGTCGCTGCTGGACTGGGGAACGAGGTGGCGGATAATAGGGGGGGTTGCGCGCGGGCTGCTCTATCTCCACCAGGACTCCCGCTTCAGGATCATCCACCGGGATCTTAAGGCCGGCAACGTCCTCCTCGATGACGGCATGAACCCTAAGATCTCCGACTTCGGCATGGCCCGGATCTTTGCTGGTGACGAGACCGAGGGAATCACTCGAAGAATCGTCGGAACCTAGTTAGTCTCCTCTCTCTTTCTCTCTGTCTCATCCATCCCATCCTTCTAGCTCCTCCTGACTACCTCTGTCAGCGCCTTCAACGCTCGACCGTATCTAGCAGCTGCTGATCTCCTTGCTGCAGCGGGTACATGTCGCCGGAGTATGCCATGGATGGGAGCTTTTCAGCGAAATCCGACGTCTTCAGCTTTGGCGTCCTCGTGCTCGAGCTTGTCAGCGGCAGAAGAAACAGGGGCATCTTGCACTCCGATTGCAACCTCAATCTCCTGGGCTATGTAAGTATCGAGCAAGAGCGGGAGAAAGAGAAAGATAGATAGATAGATAGATAGATAGATAGATAGATAGATAGATAGATAGATAGAGAGAGAGAATCTATAGACCAACCATAGAGGAGCTTTAACGATAAGTTTCTAATCTCACCATGGGTGGGTGTTCTTCGCAGGCATGGAGTTTGTGGAAGGAAGGCAAAGGGCTGGAGCTGGTGGACTCCTTGCTGGGGTCCCCCATCCACTTGGCGGAGGTGGACAGGTGCATAAAGATCGCCCTCCTCTGCGTGCAGGACCGACCGGAGGACCGGCCGGAGATGGCAACGGTGGTTCTCATGCTTGGCGGCGACAGCGCAGCGGTGGCGCACCCTAAGCAGCCGGAGTTCGTAGTGGCGAGGCCGCGCATCGCGGGCTGCTCGACGTCGATCAAGGGCCTCGCCTGCACCGTCAACGACGTCACCCTCTCCGCCGTCCACGGTCGCTGAGTTTCCGACGCCAAAGAAATTTTCGATACACTGATCAGGCTTTGACTTTTAGTCGGAAATGTAATCGGAGAATTGATCATAGAAATTGATCTATTTATTATGTAAATCAGTGAAGTATTAAAATTGTTGACGTAACGCCGGATGTTACCAGCAACCGGTGAAAAATTATTGACTACATCTTAAGTGAATATGAGCTGGTCTCAAGTGATGACGTCATAAAACACAAGAAGAAAGAGTCGATGAAGACAAAGCCTGCGCCTAATACTGGCCGTCATTGTAGCCACCAGGGGTTCAAGTAGATCCTATGCTCTACTCTCTTCTCCCTCTTTGGAAGTTCAAGTAGTTCCTATGTCCTATTTATATGGAGTGACTCAAAATTTTCTATTATTACATTTATTCATTCATTCTTCTCATGGGAAATAATTACTTTGTGGAAAAGAGTCAATTTACTCATAGTCAAGAAAAAAGAAACATAATCTTCACATCTAAAGGGTGGTTGAATGGTGTGTCTAGTTCTTCTAGTTGTAGTTGTACTACTCTCTTCCTCAAATGAATATGTGACTACAAGTTATAAATGAAGAATTGATATGGTGATCAATCGCTACTTTGAATATTTTTCCTATTGAAAATTCTTATTCTTTGTTTGCATTACCTATTATTTATCAAGATATTTTATAATGTAACTTTTACATGAAAATACATCTATTAAAGTAAGATTTTTGTGTTTTAATTAATTACATTATTTTATTTTATTTTGTTAACTTCTAGAATAAATATAGAAATATATTGTTAAATTTAAAAGTCTTAGGTAAAAATACTTAACATAATTTTTTGATTATATATATAAAAATAAAATATAAAAATATCGACACCCACTAGCAAGTGGGCACTCGGTAGTTGACCTAGAGGGGTGTTGTGTTTGAGTGGATAGACCCAAACTAGGGGGAGCCATGAGTTGGGCTCAGGTGGTGGAGGACTTGCTCCACACATGTGTGTATCACTTCCTTGCCACGTCCTAGTGGCCAATTGATTGTGGAACAAGGCGTGTTGTAGACATGTGTTCACACGAAGGTGGACCATCTTTTTACCTTCTCAAAAGATGGTCTTGGGCATTATTTTATTTTGATAGAAGGGATTTATTAAGTCTTCATTTATCATGAGTTAATAATTAGTTAATAATATAGTTTTAGCCTTAACTCATGATAAATAGACTTATATTTGTGTTAAAGTGTGAAAAGTGGTTTTCAGTTGATTAATGTGATTTTTTATAGTAATTATGTGATTTTACACAAATTTATATGATTTTTACAATCTTGCTTTTGAGATAAATGTAGAAAATAAAATAAAATAAATAAATAAGACAAAATGAGGGGACCCGCCAGCCAGCCGGGCCTGCAAGTGGGTCGGAAGCTCAATCGGGGAGTAGCCACGAGTAGGGGCTCGAGTGGCTTGGCCCGATAGAGGCACGTGTGCACCACTCCCCTTCCACGTCACTAGTGGCTAGCCGGTTGTGAGACAAAGAGTGGTCGTACATGCGAGATAAGGGACTTGCTTAGAAATGTAACATTAGTATATATTCACCCGAAAAATCAGAGCACAACTAATGTGAGACTAAACTCATGTCACACCTTCCTCAGAAAGGGTGGGGGCAACCGACTTTACATGGGTTCGAATCCTCCTAGAGCCAAAACTCATATATTTTTTTATCTGATTATCATGACTTTCTTATAGATCGCCGGTGAAGGATTAAGCAACCAAAATCACTAGACCATCATCAAAAATTTCGTCAACACAATTCGTAGAGCATTGTTACTAAAATTGTTGAATGATTCATAATAAAAGGATCACAAATCTATCGAGTAAAGCATCTTTAATTGATCGACAAACAAGCCGTGGTGGGAAAGAGGACGATCCGTTGGGAGATGAGTTGCCACCTTTTGAGAGCGTACCAGATGCGATGAAGAGCCTCCTCTTACTGTGTGGACTTGAGGATGAAGCTTCCTGACACACGCCCCACCTCCATCCAACTCCTCTCCATTGGGTGACAGTCACTAGAGAGCTGTAAAGTCACTACTTTTCCGCTCCGTCAGGTGACAGCTGCTAGAGATGATTCGACGACCCATTTCATTAATATCTAGACTTTGCAAGGAGATCTAGAGATTGCCCACATCGTCTTTGTCCCAAGAAAGCCTTCGAGGCTATAAACACTACACGACGATCCTTTTGAATGCTCAAGATTTTGATACATCGTCGATGCATCGCCGTTGCGACGCTAGAACTCTATTTTCTTACTTTCAACTTACTTTGCACTTCATTTAGTGATAATTTATGTGACTTTAATTTACTAAAATATACTTCATTCAATTACCATTCTTTTGACTTTTACAGATCTTAATTTGATTAATTAAATCATCTATAATCACTTACATAAGAATAATTGGGTGGAACTTTGTTTTCGCCCAATTTGTATTTGTCGAGTGCTGACATCATCTTGATGTCTGCACCCTTATTTCCTTTTTTTCATAAATTTTAAATATATTTCCTTTTCATTTCTTAGTATAAAATTCATAGAAAATCATATTCTTTGAGAAAAATTTTGAATAATTTCTAGATATTATATTGCATTCTTGTGATCGACTTGGAAAATTACTATTATTTTTGAAAGTTTAATTGAATTATAAGTGATATATTTATTCAGAAATACTTGTAAATATATAAAAAATTATATTTTCTAATTTTATAAAGTTTAGATTTGCGTGATTTAATATACAACGACTAAGTCACGTCAAATTTTAGTGCTGTTGCTAGGGATGTATTACATAATATTTTATATTTTTTTATTTTTCTCTTAAAGTACACAAAAAAAGAAATTAACTCTTATTTTATTTTCTTCTTGCTGAAATTTTTTTTAGAAAAAGAGAATGAAAAGAAGCAAGGCAGGGGAGCATACTAAAGGAGGGTAACAATTACTAAACTTTTTCCTCAAATTTATTAATTTTTTATGCATGGTAAAAGATCCTTGCATCCAAGGCTAGAAAATCCTTTTCATTATTTCATTCAAAACTAAAAATTCAAAAGAAAAATTAATTTTGATGGATCTTGAAGGAAGTATAGGTCAAACTGAAAGGAATCCTATGGCCATGAAAAATCATTATATCCCTTATTCATTTCAAAGAGCATCCAATACTAGAGTCCTATTAGCACCCACTATTAAATTTAAAATAAATCGATGAATTTTTCAAATGCTCCATAATTTTCATAGATTGCCTGTAGAAGAACCTCATCAGTAGTTAGAAAATTTTCATATGATCTGTGATTTTGTTAATCTCCCTCAAGTTACATCAAAAATTATTAAGATGAAATTATTTTCTCATACACTTAGGGACAAAGCTAGTCATTGGCTATCAACATTAGGTAGAAAATTAACTAACTAGAAGGACATAGAATAGGCCTTTCTTCAAAAAATTTATCTCTTAAGAAAAACTCAAAATATGAGAAAACATATATAGAGTTTTCTCAAAGACTAAGAGAAACTTTACATGAGACATGGGAAACATTTAAAGATTTACTTAGAAAGTGTCCTCATCATGCTATACCCAAGTGGTAGCTCAATAGAATTTTTTGTGATAGATTATTAGAACAACATATAAATATAGTTGATTCTATATGTGGAGGAACTTTTATGGAGAAAACCCTTGATGAAATTTACAGTCTTTATGAGAATTAAAGTGAAAATTTTACAGATCAAGCCTCTTTTGAATTATATGATAGGGATAAGAAGAAAGGAATTTATGAATTGCATCGTGATGATGATTCTAAATTTAGAAATGAGGTTAATCAGATTAATTAAATATTAGAAAAGCTTAATTTACTTCTTGAAAATATTAGAAAGCCTCCTAACCTTCAATTGAATACATATAGTGCTTGTCCTATGTATGGTGGAAATGATCATTTGAAATTTCAATAAAATCCTAAGCAAGAACAAGTATAGGTACCCCACGATTTTAGTAAAAATAGGGAATATTTTTCTAATTCTTATAATCCTAATTGGGGGAATAATTTTTCGTGGAGAAACCCAAATAATATTTAAAATCCAGAAGCACTAAGATCCAATTCAAATTTTAAATTTCGTCCAAAATAGGAACACATATTTCAGAAAAATCAGCCCGCTCAAATTTAACCTAATGCTATGGAGATGATGCAGCAAATGAGCCAAATGATGCAACAAACTATGAATCAAATAATGCTACACCAGAAACAAATTATAGAGGCTTTTGATATTAGGAGAGAAGAGGGACAGCCACCTAATTAGCCCATAGAAAATTCAGGAAATTGTCCAACAATAGGATTTCAACAAGGAGAGTCTAGCTGGATAAATTTAGAAAAAAACTAATGAAATGAAAATGTTAGGACAGTGAATACATTGAGTGAGAATATTTTATCTGATCCTTATTTCTAATTATTAAAAGAAATAGATGATCTATTAGAAGTAAATGAGAATATTAAAGCTGAAAATATAGTAGCAGAAAATTTGAATAAAATTATTTATTGCTCACAGTTGATGAATGAATATAGTGAGGATGATGAGGAGAAAGAGCCCTTAGATGAAGAAATAGTAGCTGATCATGGAAAAATAGTCCAAATTTTAGTAGAAAGGAGTAAGGACAAAAATGGAGAAAAACATATTTCAGGTGAGGAAAAATCAATTGATTTGGGAGATGTAGGAGGTGAAATTAATAAATCTAATCATAATTTTGTAGTCATGGATGTTGATAGTGAGGATGATGATGTATATCATATACGAAAATTAAAAGATAGCTCTTGGGAAGATGAAGAATTTGATAAGTTGAGAAACGAAAAGCTAGAAAAAGACGATTCAATTAATAGAGAGAAACAAAAATAATGGATATGAATATAGAGATAATCATTAGATTTGAGATTAAAGAAGACAATCCTTCCATCTTTCAAAACTCACAGCCCATTAGAATTATTTCAAAGCT